ATATACACATGACATTGTTGGTGGTGTTTAATCTGGTTCCAAGATAGACGAAATTATCTACGACTTCAAAGTTATGACTGTCAACAGTGACGTGAGTGCCAAGTGGCGAGTGCGGCGACAGGACAGGAGATAATTCGTCTTGCCCTCGTTCACTGCCAAACCCATTTGTTTTGCTTCCTTGTCCAGTCTGGAGAAGGCAGAAATAACGGCGCGGGTTTTGAGGCCGATGATATCACTATCATCGGCATATGCCAGCAACTGTATACTCTTATAGAAGACGGTACACTCTCTATTTAGTTCTGCAGCTCGAACTATTTTCTCAAGCAGCAGATTGAAGAAGTCGCATGATAGATCTTGTCTCGAATCTCGTTTTGTATCGAACGGCTCAGAGAGGTCCTTCCCGATTCTGACGGAGCTTTTGGTATTGCTCAACGTTAACTTACATAGCCATATTAGTTTTGCGGGGATACCAAATTCAGAAATCGCGGCATAAAGGCAGCTCCTTTTCGTGCTGTCGAAAGCAGCTTTGAAATCGACGAAGAGGTGGTGTGTGTCGATTCCCTTTGACGGGTCTTTTCCAATATTAGATACCTTATATGCGATGTTGAGGCTAACCCCACGGTATTTGGCGTGGATTGTGGCGTCTCCTTTTTGGTGGATAGGGCATAGCACACTTAAATTCCAATCGGTGGGCATGCTTTCGTCCGACCACATTTTACAAAGAAGCTGATGCATTCCTTATCAGTTCTGCGCCGCCGTGTTTGTATAGCTCGGCCGGCAATCCATTGGCCCCCGCCGCTTTGTTGTTCTTCAGGCGGGTAATTGCTATTCGAACTTGTGTGTGCGTTGTGCGTTCACTTCATTCAGAAGGCTGGAGAAGTGTTCCCTCCGTAATTTAAGTATGCTCTGAGCATCGGTGACTAGATCGCCTTTGGGGGTTCTACAAGAGTATGCTCCGGTCTTGAAACCTTCTGTAAGCCGTCTTATTTTTCTTAGAATTTTCGAGTATTACCCCTGTCGGCCAGCTTAACAAGCTCTTCGCACTTACCCATTTCGGTCTCTTTCTTTTTCTGATTGCAAATGCGTCTCGCTTCCCTCTTCCCCCCATTCCCCCATCCCGCACGTGTTGTGGTCGATCGTAACGGTGCGAGGTCTCCGCTGCGACACGGCACTCCGCGTCGTACCAGCTGTTCTTTTGCACTTTCCGAAACCCAATGGTTTCGGTTGCAGCTGTACGTAAGGAGTTTGAAATGCYGTCCCACAGTTTCCTTATACCGAGTTGTTGACGAGTGCTCTCAGAGAGCAGGAGTGCAAGTCGAGTAGAAAATCGTACGGCTGTCTGTTGTGATTGCAGCTTATCGACGTCGAACCTTCATTGCGTTTGTTGGCGTGCGTTTTTTGCTGCACAGAGGCGGGTGCGAATCTTGACTGCAATAAGATAGTGGTCCGAGTCGCTGTTAGGACCTCGGAGCGCACGCACATCTAAAACACTGGAGACATGTCTTCCGTCTATCACAACATGATCGATATGGTTGGTGGTTTTTCGATCCGGAGACAGCCAGGTAGCTTGATGAATATTCTTTTTCTGGAATTTAGTATTACAGATAACCATATTTCGGTCCCCGGCGAAGTCGATCAGCCTCAACCCATTTGGGGATATTTCGTCGTGGAGGCTGAATTTACCGACCGTAGTACCAAAGATACCTTCTTCGCACACCGTAGCGTTAAAGTCGAGAAGCACGATTTTGACATCGTGGGGGCAGCTCTCACAGGTGCGCTTTAAGCACCCATAGTAGGCGTCCTTGGTCACGTCGTCCTTCTYATCCTTTGGGGCGTGGAAGCAAATCAGCGATATGTTGAAGAACCTCGCTTTGATGCGGATTGTGGCTAGATGTTCATTCACCGGAATGAATGATGGTACTCAGCGACGGAGTCTCTCTCTCACCACGATTCCCACACCAAACTTGCGCTCCTTTATATATCCACTGTAGTAAATGCCACAAGGACCTATTTCGCCTTCTCACTTTAGCTCGTCTTAAAACGGATGTTCTTAATCTACACAGGGGATACTTGGTGAAAGACTGGGAGTCGTGAGCTGCTTGAGTCATATGTAAAAGAACCGTTTCTGGGCACTCCCAAGTGAGTGGCGATCAGAGAACTTTCCTCACTTACGTGAACTTCTACACAAACAAGCAAACGTGTAATTGCGTGAGCGAAACATAGCGTTAGCAAAAGTGTACAGAGCAAACGTAAGGAAACACAGTGCAAATGCTTAACCTAGAATATTAGGCAAAGAAGAAGAAGTAAAAATAGCTTAAATATATAAGAAAATATGGTTGAAGTTTGCAGTGGTTTGCAATCGGTGAACCAACATCCCGGCCCCGTTGAAAGGCATTTCAAACAGGTTGTAGTGCTAGCTTGTGAATTGATCGCAGAATTCCCTTCGTTGTTCGAATGTCCACCACACGTGTTTTAGAGTCCTTTCCTGGAATACAGTTTATAACTCTTCCAATATGCCATTTTTTTGGTGGTAAGTTATCTTCATGGATGATAACCATTGAGTTGTTGTTGATGTTTAGCCACTTTGACCATATTTGAAGTTCGTTGATATAATCATTTGATCGCCTGTTCCAAAACGTCTGTTTAATGCTTGTGACTTGATGCCATCTGTTTAAGCGGCTTATTTCAGCTGACGATAATAAAATGCCCTGGAGTTAATGCTTTATAATCCTTTGGATCCGATGACAATGGTGTTAGTGGCCGAGAATTTAACACAGCTTCCAAATGACCTACAACTCTCCACCTGCACAATTTTTAGTTCCTCAGCTATGAGTCTCGCATTTTTGATGGTACGGTTGAGATGACCTTTAGCCGATTTGACTGCGGCCTCCCAAATACCGCCGAAATGAAGTGCTCCCGTTGAAATGAAATTAAACTTTACAAATTCATTAGCATAGTACTTTACAATTGTATCTTTGGTTTCGGTTTTAATAATAAAAATGGCTTTAGTTCAGCTAGTTTGCTGCAAGCGCCCACAAAATTTGTTGCGTTGTCACAAAAGACGTCTGTCTCCTTCCAATCATCCGCTTCAATGATGCTAAGAACGCGTCCGTGGTTAGGTCCGATACAAGTTCGATGTGTACCGCCTTTGTCATTAGACAAACAAAGATCGCTATGTACGATTTATAAGGTGTTTCACTTCGAATAATTAAATATACGTTGACTGGTGAGCAGAAGTCGATGCCGCAACGCACAAAGGGGCGAGATGGAGTCAATCGCTCGACAGGTAACTGTCCCATTACCTAATTCATCAGCTTTGGCTTGTAACGAATACAATGTGTGCACGATCTGACGATACGTCTTGCTCAATCGCGGGCATTAACTATCCAAAACTGAAGTCTTATTAGTGCAACGAGTGCCTTTGGTCCTGCATGGTAGTGCTTCCGATGTAGGTGGCGAGCGTAATGCACAACGAATTCGCATTTGCTTGGCAACAGTATTGGGTGTTTCCTTTCTTCTGGAATATCTGCTGATTCCAAATGACCTACAACTTTGAGTATTATATATCCTCCGGTATACCCTAAAAATGAATTTAAATAACGCAATGGACTATTTGTCATGAGACCTTTCTGTAAAATATGAATGTCATTAGCAAAATGTATATGCTGAATGTTCTAAATTATGCAAAGTAGAGCGTGATGCAACTCTTGTGGTAAGAAAGTTGATGATTCGTTAAGTTATGTATTATATCGACAAATATTGATGAAGCGGATATCCAAGGTATTAATCTAAGGCTCCTATAATAGTTACTTCGCTGATTCACGAATACTAAATTGGTGCTAACRATTGATTTGAATGCACATTTTCGCTTCTCCTTTAAGACAACCTCCAACTTGTAACTTGAAACTTGTCGATATCATTGAATTTGTCCTTTGGCCATTTATTTGAGTTTTCGTATAGAAACCCCGGTCAGGTGTACCATATTGAATCAATAAGTTCTTTTACGGTATATCCTTTAGACGTAACATCCATCGGGTTACAATGAGTTGGTACATGTCTCCAATGGCCACCTTTGGTTAAGTCCTGGATTTCTGAAATTCGATTGCCAACAAAGGCAAGTGTTGCAGAATGCATTTTCAGCCAATGTAAGATTATTTGTGGGTCTGTCCAAATAAAAATATTAAAATATTAATGAGAAATCGTTTGTTTGATTTTTGCTAATAAAGGAGCGAAGAGAAGAGCGCCACAAAGTTCTAATTTTGGTAACGATTGTTTTTTGATGGTTGCAACTCTGAACTTAGCAGTGAGTAAGCGATAGTAGTAGAAAAGAATTCAGAAAGTTTGTCCAAGCCCATTCAATATTCTGTGGCACTGATTCATCCGAATCCAACTTTAGTAGCCATACTTCTTGCAACAAAATTTTTGAAGTTATAACATCTGGAACCAAAATACCAAGTGGGTCGTAAAGTGACGATGCAACAGAGAGGATGGTACGTTTTGTAAGACGACCAGTGACTCCTAGTTTTGCTTCAAATGAAAAACTAAAACAATCAAGATTTTGGTTTCATTTTATTTCAAGAGCGTTAGTGATAGATGAATCTACGTCTAGATCCTTTAAAGAGTCGTCTGCTCTGAATCGATGATTATTATAATGCCACTTTGTTAATTTAAACTTTCCTAATTCTAATAGTTGTGTTATCTCTTGCTTTATTTGTGAAAGTTCGGTTAGACTGTCAGCACCACACAATAAGTCGTCTACGTAAAATGATGACTTCACGATCTTTGTGAAAGTTGGGAATTGTTCTGAATGCTGTTCATCTAGGTACAGCAAACTCCATATAGCAAGATATGGTGCAGCAGGCATTTCATACGTTACAGTAATTGGTTGGTATGTCCTAATGTCCTCAGTCGGTGAACTCCTCCACAGAATGTACTGGAACTTTCGATCATCTTCGTGCATTAATACTTGCCGATACATCTTGGCTATGTCCGCAGTGAGTTCAAACCTATTGAATCGGAAACGAAGAAGAAAAATAAAAAGTTCGCATTGGATTTTAGGACCAACCATCTGAATATCGTTTAGTGATTTTTGGGATGTAGTGCGACAGGAGGCGTCAAATATAACTCTAAGCTTTGTTGTTGTACTTGTTGGTTTAAGAACGCAATGATGTGGTATAAAATAATGCGGTTCGCTCAGATTCGTATTCTTTACGATGCTCATATGACCCAGGCTCTCGTAGTCGTTCATAAATTCAACGTATTGTTCTGTCAATTGTGGTGATTTGGCCAATCGACGATCTTGTGCACTGAAACGTCGCAATGCCGTAGTGTATGACTCACCCAAGCACGTCGGATCATCCTTGAAAGGGAGTTTGACAACTATTCTGCCGCAAGGTCTTCTTGACATGGTTGAATTGCACAAATGCTCGCAAATCTTTTGTTCACGAGTCCCAGGCTCTGGGATGGTAGTAACTTCTTCCAATTTCCACAACCTTTCCAATTTGGCATCTAAAGATTCATTGGCTAAAAATAAACAAGATCGTTTAGACATATTGTTACTGCCGGTATTATAACGTCCCGAAACGATCCAGCCTAAGAATGTTTTTTGCAAGATAGGTAAATTAGACCCAAGATGGATTTGACCTACTGATAGCAGACTGAAGAACGTTTTCCATTGTTTGGAATATTCCATGTTGGTTTCCGGATCTGGTTGATAATACAAAAAGCTAATGGGAGCTCGAAACCGGTGACTTCCGACTTGATATTAGTTGAAGTTTTGAATTTAATATTTGTTGATGACAAACCGATGCTTTGAATTTCTATGTTATATTTGTTTCTTGGCAGCAGCAACCTTTGTGAAAAATCATATGTGATGAAATTGACTTGCGAACAGGAATCTAGCAGCGCTTTACCCAATCTATAACTCCCCGTTGAATCACGAACGAAAATTTTTGTCTGTTGAAGGGATTACATTATCGATGAATTATTCATATGAGTATGTACGGCTGCCTCCTGTGTAGGAAATAGTTGAGTAGCTGTTGGTTTACCGCGGTGATGTAAACTATGGTGTTGCCGTGCACATAGCTTGCACCTGTGCGATGATGAACAATTGGCTACTTGATGTCCCTTCGATAAGCAATTGATGCAAAGTCCAATTTTCTTTGCATGATCGAAACGTTGAGTTATGTTTAACGACTTAAACCGTTCAGAATTAAAAATCTTGTGGTTGTTGTTAAAACAGAATAGGCACGATATGGTACAGCAGGAAAATGTGTACCCTTCTGGTTGACTTCTTGATTTCGGAGTGGAGTGTTTGTTAAAACCTTGAGCTGGCGAAGTACTACCATGCGGGTTGTCGAGTGACTCCATATATTGGCAGTGTCTTTCCAAAACTGCTGATGAAGTCTAGCGATATTAGATAAATTAGCATTGCTTGAGAAATTTGCTTGTCACTACCCAGTGATTCCAAAGGACCATAAATAGCAGAAGCTTTATCAACCAAACTTCTTAGTTGAATGCCATTTGGTTTCACAACTTCTGGTAAATCTAACAGCGAATTTATTCCTTGAAAGAAAACTAGTGTTTTGGTGTCATAACGTACTTTCAATCGTTCTAACGCCTTTAGGTAGGTTTTCATTTGTAACTTGAAACACATTTTTCAGTTTCTTAGGCTTGATCTTGGAGAAAATTTCATAAATGGTTGAATTTTTCAATATTTGTTAAATTGATGTCGTGATGAATTATTTGTTTGAACGATGTAATAAAGTTTTGATAATTCGAATACTTGCCATCAAACATAGGAAGCTTAAGTGGTGGAAGTTTTGAACTTGATTGTACCACGTAATTTGTATCCGAAAATGAAACGTTGTTATCTTCTGCCAGTGGCGATTGGATAACCAATTTAGTGGTTAAGTAAAGTTCTTCCAGGTCAGCACGTCCTCCGTCCTCAACATCCAAACTTTCGATGTCCGTTTGAATTGAGAGAATCTGCTTGAAGTATGATTCCAGGATGCCTAAACGACATTTGTATTCCGCCACTGAAAGAACCTTTCCACCTAGTCGTAAGCTAGCATCGATGATATTTTTAATACGTGTGATTTGGTGCTGGTGCGTTGTGGTTTTAGTTCGCCCAAAGACATTGTAAAACGGGATTCTATGTGCTTTATATTGACCGACAAATTATTTTAAATAATTGTAATTATCTTTCTAGTGAGTAGTTAGGTAATAAATGATTAGTTAATTTGTTGCAAAAAGGTATCAACGATATTAATTTTGTATATATACGAAGCAACAAATAAGCGAATATCACCCGGAGGAAGTGGTACTAGCGAAACGTAGCGGCGACAAGTAGATGTGCTGTGCTTTGTGCGAGCGATGCTGATATGTCCAATGGTAAAGATGTCCCATGGTGAAGATCCAATGACGATGATGTTCCACGATGCAGTCTAATACAGACCACCAAACTCCGAAAATATATGCGAACAACGAAACCACTTACTCGTGCCCCACGTTGGGCGCCAAAAAATGTACGACTCTAAAGCTTTTTTTTTATAACCGCGCAAATTTACAAAACAGCGAAAACTATAAGCGAAATTGTAGCAGAGGGCCGAGTAACGACACTGTAAGGTGGTCAGATTTTAGACTAATTGTTTATACAATTCGTCTCCTTAAATAATATTCTACACAATATTTCGATGCCGCTAAATATGTACATAATTCCACTTTGTATTAATTCATACATATATACATATACATATATAATATGTTATGCACTTGCAACAGTTCATAAAACTAAGTACCTACATAAAGCTATTGCTTCTTCATTGTGTCTGTCCACATAGGAGTTACGTATAGTATATGTATATATAAAATTGCTTGGATCTCGATCCTCATTTTCTTGTAATTTGCAAAAATATAAAATGTTCGGTTGCAACCAATCAGAAATAGACACTATATGTCACGGAGAAAATTGGCAACTGATTAAATATCAAGCCGTCTGACGCTTTTCCAACCTGAACAGACCTTACATCAAGGTTTCTGTCAACGAGAGCCACTCTCATAACCTTACGAGTAGAAGTAATTTTCAATATCATAAATAAAAAATGTTCCACTCTTACTTATCCGGTGACGTACAATATTATCTTACCTCTGGTGGGGGACTAAAATTGGTAGACGCGTTATCTAGTGAGAATGATTTTATTTCATTATATTATAGTGTGGTATGTTTACTCGTATCTGTAAATTCTTAAACTACGTAAATATGTGTTGTTAAAAGTTTTGAATACATTTGTATTACATGTATGTTTTTATTCTCTTGCAATCAGTTGCTACAGAGTACATATTATAGTTTTGTTCACCTAACGGTTGTACGTATCACCTAAAACTAATCGAGATATGTAAATATAAAGTTATATATCTTACATATAAAAATTAATCGCAAAATGTATTGCTAAGCGCATAACTCAACAACGCCTGGACCAATTTGGCCAATTCTTTTTTCTAAAGGTTTGCTGAGGTTCAAGGATAGTCATTACGGCAAGAAAACTTCGAATAATTGCCGGAAAACCTCTAAAAACAGCTCTTTTATTTTTCCCGTACAAACGAATGAATGTTTGTTGGTTAGTAACGCTAAGAGAACGGCGGTACCAATCGTGATGAAATTTTCAGAGGTTGTTCTCTGTGGATCGGGGGCGGTTTGGAAATAAAAAAACCATATGCTTTTCGAGCGAAAAGTCGGAATATTGGACAATTCCAAAAAGTAACCAATACGGTTCATTGGCCTTGCGGACACCACAATCCCACTTTGGTTTGTAGGTCTGAAAATAAGTGCACGATACACTATTCAACCACAAACTAGAAATGAAGGATATCCACTCTATCGACGTCGCTCACCAGACGACAATGGCAGAATATTCAGCATTCAATTTAGAATAGTGAATATCGAAGTTGACAAAACACGGAACGTACTATATTCACCATTATTGTCTAATTCACATTCAAAAGTCATGTCAATGTTGCGTATTGCAGTTTGGTGTAATCGATAAAATGCGTTTAAATGAGTTAAGCATCCACCCACTTTACCCGGGAAAACTGGCGTACCTTAATAAAACAGCTTAATTCACCACAGCTGATGACAATACATCACACCACAATTGAGAACATCACCACACCCAACAAGCGGTCACCACACGAAGACATCACATGTCGCTAAACTGACCAAAAGGATGGCGACAATTCGATCTATACAAGCCGCACATCAACTTTCGGGGTCAAGAGATTAGCACGTTAACACTCGAACAGACACTGCGCTCATCAACATTCAACAAGATATTCGATTCTACGCGTCACATCAATATCTTCCACCACGCTCAGCGGTCCGGTTTGTAMATMRTATCCACTCGCTTCGTACATCCGGCTTTCGAATATAACTTTATATTTTGTATACATACGTATTAAGTAAACAATAAATTGAAATKATTATACATTTAAAATGTACGAACATCTTTATTTAAGTGCGAAAGTGGTTAGTATCATTATCAAAATATTCATGGTCCGTCAAGTCTTACCGATGGGAACCATCGGATTTTTCTAAATAAAAACAAACAAAAATTATTAATAAAAATAATATTTATTTGTATTTACAACAAAGTGTAGTGACACAAAATTAAAACAAAAAACTAAGAAATTATGCGGTGAACAACACAGAAAAAAAAAAAAATACAGTGCACTGACACTGAAAATAAAGCACATATCTATACATAAATATTTTATAACACAGTGGTACATAAATCTAAATGCATATATATACTTACATATATATTATATAACACAACAAAAAGTGTAGTAGCACAAAAAACAAAAAAAAACAAAAAATACAGAGGGAAAATTGTGCAGTGAACTATGTACATATACATACAATTATCGAAAACAAATTCATATTTGCACAAAATTTGGATAGAATTCTTAATTAAATAAAAACATAAACTATAAACTAAAAGCAACACACGAACCGGGCGCGAAACCCCCAAACTAAAAATACATACATACAATAAACATATGAACGTGCGAAAAGTCGAAAAACAAAACAGAAATCTGAAATAAATAAATGGTAAAAACAAAATTGCTCGAAATTTCAAAGCGCCTACACAAATCTGGCGCGAAAAACTATAGCACCTTAAAATAAAAAAAAAAAGAAGAAATTGGATCGCGAATAACACCTGAAACAGCGCTAAAACCAAGCAGCCTCAAAACAGCTCATGACGCCATTCTAGATTCTGACGATTCAGATACACACAATTTTAAATCCTCGGACGAGATATATGAAAACTGCTGAGACCAGTACGAAGAAACAAAAGCGATGATCTCCGATCAACTGAAGCTCATTAAAGCAATTGCACCTACTCCCCGTAGTAGAGTAGAGCTGTCACAAATAGACAGTCAAATGGCAAGTTTCGGCATCCAGCTCGAGGTGCCCGCATGTGAAACAGAAACATTCTATGGAGGTTATGAAGAATGGCCGTCCTTCCGTTACATAATTACAGCCGTTTACACAAGAAAAAAAGGTCAAGCAGGTGTCATAGTAAAGCACTTCGCATTAAAYGACGACAACATCAATTTGGCTTGGGAATTTTAGGGCTTTATTTAGCTAGACATGAAAACGAAAGAATATTGGTCG